GGAGAACCTCGCTCCCACTCTCCTCAAGAGGCTGGCCAAGTGGACGTTCCGACCGCTGACGGCTACTGCAGTTGCTGGTTTGTCGTGGCCTGCGCTCAAGGAGTGCATCTCGCAGCTGCCTCCAGCCTGGCAAAGCTGTGTGATCAAGACACTAGCAGGAGGCTGGACCACGGAAAGTCGCATGTCCCAGATGCGGTGCGCCTGCACATTCGGTTGTGCCAATGGGGAAGATGCCCAGCGGCGCTACATGTCGTGCCCTCTTCTTTGGGGTGCGGTCCTGGAAGTCTGGTGCCCGCAGGTCCCGATTGAGCCCCATCTTGGACGCCGTCTGGGGTTAGCTCGGGAACTGACGGGCCCTCAGAGACTTCTTGCTGCCCAAAGGATCGTGCTGGGCTTTTATCTTTACAACTCGATCAGACATTTGTCTATAATTGACAATGCTAATATATATATATATATATATATATATATGTATGCACGCTCGTGCTGCCCGATCCCAGCTCTTACAGCAGGGTTGAGGCGTGATGACCTACGAACCCCCCTTTGGATACGTCCGAGGAGGGTGATGATGATGATGATGATGATGATGATGATGATGAGGAGGAGGAGGAGGATGAGGAGGAGAAGGATGCGGAGGCGGAGGCGGAGGCGGAGGCGGAGGCGGAGGAGGAGGAGGAGGAGGAGGAGGAGGAGGAGGAGGAGGAGAAGGCGGAAGAGGCGGAGGAGGCGGAGGAGGAGGAGGAGGAAGAGAAGGAGGAAACGGATAATAAGGAGGAGGAGAAGGGGGAGAAAGAGAAGGAGGAAGAGGAGGAGGAGGAGTTGGAGGGGTATAAGGAGGATGAGGATGAAGATGATGATGATAATGGTGATGCTAATGATGATGATGATGATGATGATGATGATGATGATGATGATGATGATGATGATGATGATGATGATGATGATGATGATGATGATACTGATGATGATGAGATGATGATGATGATGATGATGATGCTGATGATGATGATGATAATGATGATGCTGATGCTGATGCTGATGCTGATGCTGCTGATGATGATGATGATGATGATGATCATGATGATGATGATCATGCTGATGCTGATGCTGCTGATGATGGGTGATGATGATGATGCTGTGATGGCTGATGATGATGATGATGATGATGATGATGATGATGATGATGATGATGATGGATGATGATGATGATGATGATGATGATGATGGATGATGAGGAGGAGGAGGAGGAGGAGGAGGAGGGGGAGGAGGAAGGAGGAGGGAGGGAGGAGGAGGAGGAGGAGGAGGAGGAGGAGGAAGAGGAGGAGGAGGAAGAGGAGGATGAGGATGAGGATGGGAAGAGAGGAGGAGGAGAGGAACAGGAGGAGGAGGAGGAGGAGAGGAGGAGGAGGAGGAGGAGGAGAGGGAGGAGGAGGAGGAGAAGGCGGAGGAGGAGGAAGAGGAAGGAGGAGGAGGAAGGAGGAGGAGGAGGAGGAGGAAGGAGGAGGAGGAGGAGGAGGAGGAAGGAGGAGGAGGGAGGAGGAACAGGAGGAGGAGGAGGAGGAGGAGGAGGAGGAGGAGGAGGAGGAGGAGGGAGGAGGAGGAGGGGAGGAGGTGGAGGAGGAGGAGGAGGAGAAGGAGGAGGAGGAGGAGGGAGGCCCTTACATCCCCCAGGTCTCCCACGAGATGTTTTTTCCGTCACGGCGTGCTCTTTCTCGATCTCGGCCTGGTGGGCCCGTCTTCGGCCCCCAGCAGGGTCATGCCCTGACCTCGTCGCGTCTCGAACAAAATCACGAGGGAAGGTTTGTGGACATTTTCGGCTCCTGGGGGCTCTCGCTGGGCCCTGCATCCCTCGGCGAAACTTAGCTGCAGTTTTTCCTGCGCCGCGTCGGCACCCCCAGACTCCCACACGTCGATGCTGGTGCCGAAACACGCGAGCTGACTTTTACCGTCGGCGTTCGCGGACCGCGTCGCGCGCGCAACTGAACATTGAAATTGGGGGGGGCGGGAAAACTTGCGTCAAGTTTCGCGGAGGGTTGTGGGACCGTCAAAGAACGACTCATGATAAGAAGCAGGTCCGGGTGAATTGGTCTCGGCCTCCCGGGGGTCCACGCTGCGAGAAAACATCGGCGTCGGGATAAAGACGGATCCAGTGCGAAAGCACCGCCCCCCAGGGGAAGGGGTCGGGAGCTCTGGGGGCGCGGACTGAGCAGAAGCACATCCTCCTTCGTCTGCGTCGTGAAAAAATCACGGCGGAGGGCTTCTGCTGTTTTTCAGCCTCTGGGAGCACTCACCGCCCAGGTCCGTTAACAAGTGACTCGGGATGAGAAGCCGATCCTGGGCAGTTGGTGCAAACCTCCAGGGGTCCACGTTGTGAAACAACATACGAAAGTGGCGTCCCCGCGCGCCTTCCCCATCTCACTGGATCCCCGGATGCAACCAACAAGCCGCAGTTCTCCTCTCGACTCGGCCCGAACCGGTGAAACTGCAGACAACTCCGACACGCTCGAGGCTCAGCATGCCTGGCACAGCTTGGCGTGCATCACGGAAGAATCCCAAGGGCCTCCGCATGTCCATGGTTGCGGAGCCACTCCCTCAAGCAGGGCTTGCCACGTCCAGAGCGCGGCACGAGCGTGCACAATCACGTTCAAGCGAGCTGCAGGATCGGGCCAATCCCCCAAGCATGGACCCGCCTTGATTCCGAAGCAGGGCTGCGCGCTCGTGAGCAGCAGGCCGCACACGGCAGTCGTTCGAAAGTCTCGTCGTCAAGAGCCCTGGCGAGCCTGCGCCTGGACGTCTTCAGGGACCCTCTTCAAAAAGAAAACGGCGCTCACAGCGGAGGCGCTGGCACATGTCGCGCCCGCCAGCTCAGCCAACCGAGGGCGCTTGAGCATGGGAGGCGCAAAGCCGCCGCGCCTCGCCATGCCTCCTCCTCCGCCCTCCTGTCTGCTGGGATCTGCTCCGGCGCGCCCCGCCAGTAGCCCGACCGGCGCCCGCGCCCGTCCGCTGCCGCACCTCCTGCGCCCGCTCCCGAGCAGCGGCAGGCGGGTGCAGACACCGAGCCTGGGCTCGGGCTGGGCCCGGCCAAGCTGGGCGCCTGCTGCCAGTTCCCACGGAGCAGGCGACGGCGCGGAGGGAGGCCTCGGCCCACGGCCGCGGGCTCTTGGGCGTGTCAGCGCCTCCTGGCTTAACAATCCGCCAGCATCCGTTTGTTTCGTGTGTGTGTGTATGTAATGTACACGTCGGTCGTTGAAAGTAGGTATCTCTGCATTCCCAGGTCCCGCGCCTTCCTACTTCAAGAGCCGATCTGCTTCCGCTGTGTCAGGTTATTCTCTAGGAGGGCCTGAGCCCAATCCACTCTAGCCGCCTTCTGACTTCATGCTTTTGCCTACAGTCAACCCGCACAGTAAGGATGGGCAGCCTTCCCAAGGATACCCTGGCATCCTTGCCTCCTCGGCCCATCCTTGGCCACTTTCGTTGGCCGCGCCCCGCTCGAGAAGCGCCGAGATGGGCGTCCAAGGCCCTTGCATCCTTATATCGCGCATCCTTACTATACGGGTTGACAGTACTTCTTCCGACCCGCGTGCGTGTGTACAAGCTTCATGTAAGTCATGCTTTGTCGTCTCAGCGCTTGTGCGAGTCCTGGGGCCGCCTTTCGGCGGGAGGGTCTGGGCCTTTATAGGACCCGCGGGCCGAGAAGCACACCGCACGCGCGGGGGTCACGGTTGTGGTGCTCTGATCTGGCGTGTGGCTTGCGCGCGCGCATCCTGGTGAGCCATATGTGCGTTCTGGAGAGAGCGAGAAAGAGAGAGAGAGAGAGAGGCAGAGAGAGTGAGAGAGAAATAGAGACAGAGAGAGAGAAGGACACCGAAAGAGAACAGAGAAAGAGAGAGAGAGAGCGAGAGGGAGAGAGGGTGAGAAAGAGCAGACAGTATGGAGAGCCGAGGACGGAGATTGGGGAGGCATGCCTTCCCCGACCAGGGCCTGCGCTGCAGGCTTCCCGGGGGAGGGTGCAAGAGCCGGCGAGATGGTCCTGCAGGCCTCGGCAGGCGGCAGGGCTTCTGGTCTCCCGGGCTTCTGCTTGCGCAGGCCGTCGGCCTCCCAGGTCGAGAGCGAGCGTTTGCCGACAGCCGGCAGACTGCGGTCGGCCTGCAGCCGGGGAGGGCGAGCACGACCTCCGCTTTTTGTTTGTCTGTTTTTGCTTGGGGGGAAGCCGCCAGGTGTCGTCGGCGAGCGAGGGGGGGAAGCGAGAAAGGGCGAGCCCTCTCAGGAGGCCCGGAAGTTCCCCAGCCTTCTGAGCAGTGTTCTCAGCCTCCCCCGAAGACATCGGACAGCTCTCTCAGAAGGCGCGAGGGCTTCTGAGAAGTCCCGCGGGCTTCTGAGAAGGCCTTCTCCTTCTCAGTCCCCCCCCCTGCTCGACACTGAAAACCTCAGGAGGGGAAAAAACACACGGACACAATTCATCGTCGATCCGCAGGAAGATATGGGAAACATGGGAAGTGGGGGGGAAGACAGAAACCCAGAATATATATATATATATATATATATATATATATATATATTGGGAATCCTTTGATTTGTGTGTGTGTTTATTTGTGTGTCCTGGGGTCCCTTCAAAAACCGCCAACTGGGGCCCTCGCTGGTGCGATGATGGTGCCGGGGGCCCGAAAGCGGCCCCCGAAGACCGAGGCACAGAGTTAAGTCGGGCCTGTCCCCCTACAGGGGAATTTTCGACGAAAAATTTTAAAAAATACCCCCAAAATAATCAAAAGTACTCGAAAAATAGTCTGGGGACTATTTTTTGAATATTGTTTGACCTCTTTTTTGGGGGTATGTTGGGGGTATTTTTTTTTCTTTTCGTCGAAAATCCCCCTGTAGGGGGACACGCCCGACATAAGCATAGAGGAAAGGGCGTCGGGACCCAGAGGTTCGATCCGGACGTCTCGGGACGGACATCTCGGGACGACGACGCCGACGAACGACGACGACGACGACGACGACAG